ATACTTTTTTCCTTATTTTTTTCTGTTAAACCAGCACCTCGTGGTCCATTATGGAAAAATGGCCAGCTTTACTTTTTAATGATATCGCTGCCACAGATATTAGGGGTTTTTATCTTTTTATCTAATTTATACAATGCATTTTAATCTTTTTAACTTTCATAACCTGTAAATAAAATGATTTTCGTGAATTATACAAACAAACATTCATGCCAAAACAGGTTATATTCCCAATTGAAATATATTATGTTCTTGTCTCTTTATTGCTTTTTGGTCTATTAAAAGTTTGATTTTGATAGAATATTTAATATTTTTGGAAAGTTAATAATTCGAGATTTTCCAAAGGCTATAGACTTGCACTCTTTACCAACAAGGGATATTACAGAAATAGGCTAATTATCAGATAAATAACCAGATTGGATGCTACTATAGTTATTTAAAGTCTTTTAGACGACCAGAAACATGTTTATGAGAAAGAATCTTGATATTTGAACTCCATGAAAAGAATGATATTTTTATAAGACTGTATTCACTCTATTCTAAAATCACCACTACCAAAACGAGATAAAAATGTAGAAAATGCAAAGAAAACATGCTTCTTTAGTCTTTTACACCTCTTTTGGTTTATCAGAAACGTGTTTTTCCGCAATTTTTCATATTTGCACTAGCCTATAGGCTTGCGCATTTTAAAAAAAACGAGCGCAAACAAAACAGAATAAACATGCCATGAATAGGAAGAATGAAAGCTGCCATAGTCATAAATAGCTATTATGATTTATCATTTATTACAAAAATCTTCATTTTTTAGGCCATGAGAAATTCGACATTTTCCTAAAGCAATAGGCTTGCATATTTTTCAAAAAATGGCCACAAACAATGAAAGGTAAATATGAATGATGCAATAGTCACAAAAGCAATTACTGTCTATCAAAAGCAGTTTTTTATAAAAGGCTTCATATATTTTGACAATGAGAATTTCGAAAATCTGTTAGGGCCATAGGCTTGAGCTTTCTATCAAAAATGATCAAAAACAATCAAAGGTAAATATGCTATGAAAAGCAAGAATGAATGATACAAAAGTCATGAAAACCATTGCGGTCTATCAGAAGCAGTTCTCTTTAGAAAAAATTTATATATTTTGACAATGAAAATTCGAATATTTGCTAGGGCTATAGGCTTGAGCTTTCTATCAAAATGATCAGAAACAATTAATGGTAAATATGTCATGAAAAAAAAGCAAGAATGTATGATGCAAAAGTCATAAAAAGCAATTACGTTCTATCAGAAATATGCTTTTTGGTAGAAGTCTTCATATTTTTGGGCCATGAAAAAATTCGGTATTTCCTTAATGCTATAAGGTTTGTACCAGAGCCTCAGTAAACGTTTTTGTAGAACTGTGGTGTGATGTAGTGGTCTGATCCCCACCTCTCTACAGTTCACATTTTAGAAATAGTAAGAGTTCATATTGCATCGGTCAAGGTAAGTGTTCTTCTTTTGTAGACAATAAGCTTTAGCTTTGGAAACTTTCTTCGAAGAAAATCAAAGCATTGCTGGGTTGGGATGCTGCACTTAAGATTTAGTTTTTATCAACCTTCATCAAGATTGTTGGCTAGATGAAATATTTTATTGACTCTTGATAGGTTCATAAATCTTAAGTCCATTATTAGTTTCAAAATTCATAAGTAGTATATGGTGTGTGTTACTCGCCTTGTAGTCGCCTAACCTGGCTACTTGAGCTCAAATTTCAAATTTTGAGGCTGAGCTGGCTGGACTGCTCTTGAATTACCATGAAAAGAAATATTAGAATGAACGAATGAAATTTTTTCTTATCAAATATGGTTTAACTTACGGTTGACAGTTCCTCAATTTTCAGGCTCGCCTTCTTATAAGAGATTTTTAGGCGCATTCAAGGACAGTCCAATATTCTTCAAATTACAGTTAAATTCAGTAGCTTGACCTTCAGTGGGTAAGGAAATGGTGCAACTTTTGCAAATGTCTTGCTTTTCTGGGGGTGTTCTCCGTGAACAATGGGAGTTGAAAATCAGTCTGACCTAGTGAAAGCCTGAGTAATCTAGGACAAGACTTGAAATGATTCAACTGTTTACTGTGTTTGGGTTTAAGGCAAGCTGATAGTAGAGTATCTGTCCATTTTGGGTAAACCCATCTTTTCCTCAATTCTTCAGACATTATTTAATGTCTACGTGAGCAGTTTGTCAGTAATGGGAAAATCAATGACTTGTCTACATTTAGCAAGACTTGGGTTGGGATTTAGCAAGTCTCCCACCTGACCTTCCCTGCCTATCATAATTAGTGGACCAAAAGTAGCGCAATCACTTTCAAATGGTACATGCAGTCCAGTCACTTTCAATCAACGTTGATGGAGGTAAACAAGCCCCATAAAAATCATGTACAGCAAATTTTAAAACAGGCTTTGATTTCTGTCTGCTTGCTTTTGACATTTTCTAGCATTTGTCTCTTTGTCTCTTTAGTCTCTTTGATCCAAAATTTGTCATCAGTCATTTTGACACTTGTTTGCATTTTTATGCATGTACAAGACTGGAAAGAACAAATGGTTTTTCCAAAAACTTCGCTTCTAATTTGTTTATAAGATTAGAAATTGTAAAGTGAAAGCTTTTGTCTCTTTTGTTTTTTATTCTGTAATGACTAACCTTGTAGACAGGATGACAAAGTCCTAAACTATTGCAAAGTAAAAGATATGAATTCCATACTTCCAACCTTAGCGGCAAGTTAGATACCATATGAACATTTTACAAAAACTATTATTATTGCTTTTGCAAAAAGAATTGTCCGAAACGCAAAGTGATGAACGAAACATGTAATTCTTTTTAAAAAATAGCACCAGGCCTCCAAAGAAGGGGGCTAATAGTGCCATGCCCCCCTCCCCCACACTTTTTGCAAAACAATAGCTTTTTAAAAATCTTTTGTTATGATTGTTGATATCTCTGTTGGCCATTCCATTTTCTAATCTGCGTCGGAGCCCATATAGCACAGGAGTATTGTGTGTGATGAGTAACACCACTCTGACAGCCTTCTGCCAACCATATGTTGAGTAATTGAAAAATTTAAAAGCTGTGACAATAGTATGGACATGTTATGTTAAAGTTTTAAAATTTACTGATATATCTTTGGCAGGGCGCAAAACATTGGAACCCAGGAACTCTTATAGCCCTAAAAGTTTTAAAGTGGGCACTTGTCGAAACATGATTACCTTCAGATAGAAAAATGTATCTTTAGTTGTCACATCACGGGATCTATTGTCCTTCAAATTTTCAGGTAATTAAAGTTGCAAATGCAGATGAATTGGAAGTGATCAGTTTTTGTGGGTATTTTCGATGCTATATTCTCAGCTGGCAAAATGTGGTTCATAAAATTTAATAGGTTTCAAGGAAGAAAGATGCCTGTGTAACAATGATAATCGGCTCTACGCTGATAGGATAACGTAAGATTCGCTGGCTGGCAAACAGTTTTCTCATATAACAGAAACATTTTCAACTGTCTTCTTTTCTAATGAAATAATATTACTGATTTTTATAATGCATGTTAGTTGACTACATGTACAACACTTGGCTGCATTAAGATTAGTATTTGAGTTAACACCAAAACAATATCAGTCGTGCTAGCCTCCTTTTTTGAAACGAGGCGAGATTGTTTTAAGCCAAAATATTTACTGTATCGTATCACTGAACACCGAAACAGTTAACAGCTTATTTTGGAAACGAGTAGTAATATTGATATTTTGGCAGATGTTGGGATATGTTATGCATATATTTCAGCAATTAGGATTTTATTGAAAGAGCCTACAGTAAATCCCCGCATATAAGAACCTACTTTTTTGAGGTTCAGGCTGAAGTAGGTTCTTATTGGGAAAATAGGCATGGACTTGTCACAGGATAGAAAGTGGATTAGCTGAGGGCTTAAAGGTGATTTTTCAGTGCATTTTTCATGAACGCAATTATCTAATGCAAAAAATCTTATGCGTCAAACCAATATTATAACAAACTAATCTAAAAGTCGGTAAAGAGCTTCCTTATTTTCCTGTGGGAGCTCAGCCCCCCTCGGTTTTCGCCAGGAGGGGCTGAAGCCCCAGAGCACCCTCCCCCCTGAGTTTACGCCTATGATTGGGAAGGTACTGGAATTACTTTCAGGGTATGAAGGTTCTTATTGGAAGGATCCCTTATTCAAAATTTTAGGATTCATTATCAAGAGATGCATTCAACCCTATTTTTTCCTTTTGGCAATGTTATTAATGCAACATCACAAAGATATTAACAGGAAGACATTTGAGCGCACTGGCTGCCTTATGACAGTGGATGGATCTGGATATGATCTCATTCGTCCTCAGGAATTGAAAATTATGAATTATAGTGCTTTAATTTCATTTTTCAAGGAAAGTATTGTATTGCAAGGAAAGAAAGGATATCATATTTGATTTTCCTAAAAGAAGAAACTCATTGCAGTAACAGACTTATTAATTAATTGCCTTAGTCTTGACCTTTATTTGTTCTCGGAGTAGAAGCATCCTGAACGCCAGTTTACTATTATTTCCATGTTGACATTTTCAACGGTTTATAAACATGCTGTGAACAGAAGAAGTGTTGTTATAAGAAAACTCGAAATTTTATATGTAGCTATATAATTCACGAATAATTCATTATCTTTTACAATTCTACAAAACGTAACGGAATATAATTTTAAGGCACATCTCAACCTTCGTAATTTTGCTTAATTGATTACAACCACTCTGTCAACTGTTCATATCTGATATAGAAGACAAGTAGCGGTACAGCTGTATTTTGAAATAGAAAAATCTCTTTTATCGTTAACCTTGCTGTGCCATATTGGAACTAGAAAGAGAGTTTATATTTTATGTCCTAAAGTATGAAAGCTCGTTTATATCTGATTTCTCGTCATAGTTTTTGAAATGATGTCATTAATACCCTTTCAAGTTCATCGAAATTGCTGAAACAGTGGGAAGTCGACATCACTGCATTGATCTATGAAACAATCTTCACTGCATCGGTTGCTGGAACAAGAACAGTCAATCACTTCTGTCTGACTACCTGTGAGCTCTCTCTCTGACATCCTACGTCTCTCTTCATAAGAGTGAACACTATGTTCGTCTGATTCTTCGAGGGTAGGATGCGATTCATAACTTCTTTTGACGTAATTTGTTTCCATGCCCCTGATATTCAATTGTTGTTGGTCGGTGCTACCATATTGTTGCTCGAAAGAGATTCTTTCAGGAAGGCCGCGTTCTACCTGCAATTGGAGATTAATGTTTTGAGTCCATTTCATCACAAATTTAACTAATACAGAACTGTTATCTCTAAAATCGAGGAAAACCCCAATTCCACCATACTTTACTAGGTCAGAGGACTATATTTACATATAGCTTTCAAAGTCAGGAATACTGCTTTAATCGGTCACGGTGCTGTTTCCAACTTGTTAGAGTACTATAAATTGTAGGTTGTGTTTAGAATCCCGGATAAAATTGTTGAGTCAAAATTTAGTTTTTACCATTTATAACTTTGCGTTGACCCTGTTAATTCGAATCCCCACTTTTCCCCGAATCAATGTTGGATCTGTAGTTCATCGCGGGACGATTGAAAGTTATTTTGGAAAGTAAAGAGAAAATATCAACTTTCTTGAAAAGTCTACGCAGTTTTTATCTCGAATTGTTTTTCTTTAGGATCCTTATATAATCAAATTAAAGAAACGTATAATATTAATCTTACAGTTATACTGAGTTCATCAGAGGTTAACTTTCAAATAAGATATCCAAGCAAAACCTCATTCTTTTTTGACATACCTCTTCCTGACCATAATATCGATATTGATCTATTTCACAGAGGTAACACTCTTCTTCCTCGAGATCTTCCAAATTATCATCAGTTTGGCATTCTGCATCACAGCAAGGTGGCATATTTTCAGAGGCCGGATTCTCTGCTAGGAAAACTTCATTTGGTTGTTCGTTTACAAGACTGCTTTGCACCAACGGGCTAATACTGCTATCAAGATACCACTGATGTTGTGGCTGCTCTTCTAATATAAGGTTCTCCAATGTCACTCCCTGTGAGTTCAGGTTTTCAACAGACCCATCAATTGCTTCATCGATCAACTCTTCATGTTCAATGTTTCCAGAGTCATATCGTGGTAATGAGTCGTAAGAAGCATTTCCTGCAGATACATCCTCCCTGTTGTCAATTTGTTGCTGAGGCAAATCATCTTCTTGAGATTCATCTTCTGAATCACTTTCAATAGTTTTTACCTCATTCGTTTCATCTTCAGAATCACTGTCGATAGTTACAGCTTCATCAGATTCATCTTCCGAATCGCTGTCAATAACTATAACTTCATCTATCAATGGTTGATGAAAAGCAGCAGCGATGTTGCGTTGGAAATTGTAGAGCGAATTTCTCGTGAATGGATATGTTGAAGGATGATAGTGCAAGTTTAAGACTCCGCTCTGGCTAAGCTGCCCTGGCAGCAAGGAGTTTAGATATGGTACGATTGATTGAAAGTTCTTGAATCTGATGGCCATGCCTTGCTGTGTTGGTATCAGAGCAAAACCTTTTCTTGCGTCCTCTTGGTCTGATTCGTATCCATCGTCGCTGTCTTCATCAAGGTCATCTTCATCGCCTATAAAATAAAGTTCCTCCATTATTCCATCAATATTTGTTTCATTCTTGTGTCAAGGAGATGCATTAAGGATGAAATTACTTTTCTTATTTTGAATCGTTTATTTTGGATTGATATGAAAATGCTTTGATTATTAGAAGAAGCTGGAATATCGAAAGAAATTGAAATCGGTTGACTGGCATTAAAGAAAACGATGAAATTCACCAGCCTAATTATTTTGGATAATGTTATGAGTTGGTGATCGAGATATTTCATGCTAGGGACAATGACACAGGGTTTGAAATAATTGGAAACGTATTTTAAAGATTATAGAGGCTTACGTTCTCGCCTGTAAAGACGATCTTCACCGGCGTCATTTTCTTCATTCATATCCACCATTGGCTCAAAATCAGGTAAAGGCATTGTGTCATCATCTCTGAAGAACATCGGATCGTCGACTTCGAAGTCTGAATCGAATTCTGGGTAGTCAGATTCATCATCATCAACATCTTCTGAGGCTCCAACCTGATCAGCAGCAGCCGAAGTGATGGCATGTTTAGGTGCTTCAAGCAAAGAGTTGCCTTCCTCTACAATTTCAGAATGCATGCTCTTTCCAGAATCATCTTCATCTTCACTGTCAGTATCATATCCTGAATGATCTTCTTCATCCTCATAACTTTGACAGTATTTCCTCTGTGAATAGATAATTTCTTTTCTTCGACACTTGGACTCACCAGCCTTGTTTTGTGAGGATTTCTTTCTTTTCAGGCCTCTTGATTGATTTAACAACCGTTGCTCTCTGATGCCTCTTGGAAGTTTCATGCGTTTATAGTATGACAGACGAGCGTCTTCTGGCAAGCAATCTATCATATCGAGAAACTCTGAGTCGTCTGAATCCCAATAGATGTTTGGTTGTGTCTTAGAGAACGATTCTTCGACATTTTCAAGAGCAGTGGACACTTCAGAAACTTGGCTGACTTGTTCCCTTTGATCATTGAGTGGACTGTCAGAGAATTCTTCTTCTTCGGATCCACTTACTCTAGCTGAATCAATGATCCAAAATTTCCTGGAAAAAAATGACATCTTTCACATTCCAAGTTGAAGAACAAAGCCTAAATCAATCATTAGTTCTCTTGTTCTTTTATCATTTTTTTACATAAAAATCAATCATACCTGGAGTCTCCTTGATCTTTGCTTTCCTCTCCCATTTGACAACGAATAGAATTGTTTTCCATCGTGGGTTTTTAACTTTGAGTCTTTTCAAATATCGAGCAGCACTCTGATTAGCTTCGAACAGTAGTTGAAACTTGAGAAAAATCCGTTGATATTTTGTCAAACGCCACTTTTAATGATTTCGACCCAGTCCGTAATTGTTACGTCAAATTGGCGAATTATCCAATTGTTACGTCACCTGATTTATTTGGGCTTTTTAAAGGTATTATAAATATACTAGCTTGCGTGTAGTACAATATGATGCTATAATAACGATAAATGTAAGTAAATTGTACCAGGAAAATTTTTTTGTAATAAATGACGTTTCGAGCATAGCCCCTTATCAAGTGATAGGTTTTTTAAAGTATTACATTGCCAAGGAAAAAAAGTTGGGGTAAGGAAAGATGGTGGAAGGAACCTATTTTTTTCAAGAACTCGCATTTTTTTGCTTTACAAAATGTTAATAAGTCGCTTTTCCCCGACTAAAATTTCAAAGATGCAATACAATTTGATTCAAATTATTAAGGCCAACAGCCGACATCCCTTCTAAACAAACAAGATTTTTTGTGCTTCAGAAACGTGTTTTTTACATAAATTCCATCTCTTTGGACAATGAATAATTTGTATTTCATAAGGCTTGCACTTTTTCCCGAAAAAAACCGTAACCAAAGAACTTATTTAACAAAATAGTTAAAAAGGAAGATGGCATATCTATCTAGTACTAAGAACCATTTTGTGAATAACAACAGTCTAAAATTCAAAAATCCTTTTCTCCTTGTTTTTTTCCTGTTAAACCAGCACCTCCTGGTCCACTATGGAAAAATGGCCAGCTTTACCTTTTAATGATATCTCTGCCACAGATATTAGGGGTTTTTATTTTTGTATCTAATTTATACAGTTGTCTTTCAATCTTTTTAACTTTCATAACATAAAAATAAAATGAATGTCGTGAATTATACAAACAAACTTACATGCCAAGACAAGTTAAATTCCCAATTGAAATAAATGATGTTCTTGTCTCTTTGTTGCTTTTTGGTCTATTAAATGTTTCATTTTGATATCCAATATTTTTGGAAAGTTAATAATTCGAGATTTTCCAAAGGCTATTGGCTTGCACTTTTTACCAACAAGGGATAATACAGAAAAAGGCTAATTATCAGATAAATAACCAGGTTGGATGCTACTATAGTTACTTAAAGTCTTTTAGCCGATCAGAAACATGTTTATGAGAAAGAATCTTGATATTCCATGAAAAAATGATATTTTAATTAAACTGTAGGCTTCCACTCTATTCTAAAATCACCACTACCAAAACGAGGTAAATATGTAGAAAATGCAAAGAAAACACGCTGCTTTAGTCTTTTAATCCTCTTTTGGTTTATCAGAAGCGTGTTTTTGCCGCAATTTTTCATACTTGCACTAGCCTATAGGCTTTAGGTTTGCACTTTTTAAAAAATAAACGAGCACAAACAAAACAGGAAAATATGTCATGAATAGGAAGAATGAATGATGCAAAAGTCATTAAAAGAAATTACGGTCTATTAAAAGAATTTTTTTTATAAAAATCTTAATATTTTTAGGCCATGAGAAGTTCGACTTTTTTTGGTCTATCACGGCTATCAGAAGCAGTTATTTTATAAAAAGCTTCAAATATTTTGACAATGAGAATTTCGAATATTTGCTAGGGCTATAGGCTTGAGCTTTTTATCAAAAATGATTACAAATAAGAAAAGGTAAATACGTCATGAAAAGCAAGAATGGATGATGCAAAAGTCATAAAAAGCAAATACGTTCTATTAGAAATATGCTTTTTGGTAAAAGTCTTCATATTTTTGGGCCATGAAAAAATTCAGTATTTCCTTAATGTTATAAAGTTTGTACCAGAGTCTCAGTAAAAGTGTTTGTAGAGCTGTGGTGTGATGTAGTGGTCTGATCCCCACCTCTCTACAGTTCACATTTTAGAAATAGTAAGAGTTCATATAACATCGGTCAAGGTAAGTGTTCTTCTTTTGTAGACAATAAGCTTTAGCTTTGGAAACTTTCTTCGAAGAAAATCAAAGCATTGCTGGGTAGGGAGCTGCACTTAAGATTTAGTTTTTATCAACCTTTATCAAGATTGTTGGCTAAATAAAATATCTTCTTGACTCTTGATAAATCTTAAGTCCATTACTAGTTTCAAAATTCATAAGTAGTATATGGTGTGTGTTACTCGCCTTGTAGTCCCCTAACCGGGCTACTTGAGCTCAAATTTCAAATTTTGAGGCTGAACTGGCTGGACTGCTCTTGAATTACTATAAAAAGAAATATTAGAAATGAACAAATGAAATTTTTTCTTATCAAATATGGTTCAATATAAGGTTTACAGTTACTCAATTTTTAGGCTCGCTTTCTTATAAGAGAATTTTAGGCGCACTCAAGGACAGCCCGATATTCTTCAAATTACAGTTAAATTCAGTAGCTTGACCTTCAGTAGGTAAGGAAATTGTGCAACTTTTGCAAATGTCTGGCTTTTCTGGGGGTGTTCTCCGTGAACAATGGGAGTTGAAAATCAGTCTGACCTAGTGAAAGCCTGAGTAATCTAGGACAAGACTTGAAATGATTCAACTGTTTACTGTGTTTGGGTTTAAGGCAAGCTGATAGTAGAGTATCTGTCCATTTTGGGTAAACCCAACTTTTCCTGAATCATTTAGATATTATTTTATGTCTACGTGAGCAGTTTGTCAGTAATGGGAAAATCAATGACTTGCCTACATTTAGCAAGACTTGGTTTGGGATTTAGCAAGTCACCCACCCAACCTTCCCTGCCTATCATAATTATTGGACCAAAAGTAGTGAAATCACTTTCAAATGGTACATTGCAGTCCAGTCGCTTTCAGTCAGCGTGGATAGAGGTAAACACAGGACCGTCGAGAGGGGGGGTAGCCAGGGTAGTTACCAAGGGGCCCGGGGCCTTGAGGGGCCCGTAGAAAATAAGGTATGTATTTTTGGCTATGAGTTTTCAATTAGCAGCATTGGCAGGGCGGGCCCATGACCCGATTGATATTCGAAATTTAATCTTTCAACATGGGATCAACAAGCTGGTCTATGATGAGGGCCTTTTCTTGTTAAGGTTTATAATTAAAACATTGACGATACGATCATAATATACTTCTCCGGAAGCCGAAAAATTCGATTGCACTTACATATATCTACTTTTAGGTCAAATGTTTTAGTTATTCCTTGTGTGGACTTCCTATAAACGTAAACCTAAATCTTCCATTCACGGCGTACACCAGAGAAAAAGCACATGCAAAGAACCAAGACAAATCCAAACGCTATAAAAGTCTTTATCAAAATCACTAAGCGGGATCACGATCCAACCAACCCCTGCGATGTCACCTTACAGGCATAAGTCTGGTGCTCAGAAGAGGCAGGGAAAAAGATGCGAGAAAAAGAAGCAAAGAAAGCCTCTCGCACATTGTTTGAGGTAGGTGCTTACAAAAGAGACAAGGAAGATGATTAAACTTTAAATAAACCTGGTGAAAGCTCTGTTCAAAGCACTGCTGAAGAAGAAGAAGACACGAACGGCTTGGCTGCTTCGGTAGACCATGACACCACAGAAAGTAGAGAAAGCACTACTGATTCGTCATTAAATCAAGAGACTGTTCATAGTGGATCATCTAGTTTTGGTGTCTGCACATTGACCGGATTTCCAACGATTAAGGAGTTAGAAAAGGTTGTTAGAACTGGTCATTTGCCTCATCCTCCAGAGTTTCCCAAAGATTGCGACGGCCACAAATTTCCAACAACGGTCCTAAATGTGAAGCAGCAAATTGGGGAGGTAGTAAGACGAAGCTGGCTTGTTTTCAGTCCTACAAAGGCTGCACTCTGATGGTTGGGAAGCGAACGACAGCTGGAAAAGGTTGTGGGAAATAATTAAGGATTTCGCCATAAGGAAAGCAATAAAAAATTAAGGATTTCGCCACAAGGAAAGCAAGAAAAGCAGTTTTTTAAACATTAAATTAACTCTGATTTTTAAACTGATTTGTTTTAAAGATTTATCTTATATAGTCACTAATTAGATGTTCTGTTAAAAACCTTAAAATACAAATTCAAGTGTTTCAGGGGCGTTGATTTCAAAATTCATGCCTTTTACAGTCCATCTAACTGCATTGCTAAGGGCGTAACACAAAAAAGGTTTTTGCAGCCTTCGACTGTGGGGCCCCATGACGGTCCCAGCCCTGGGGCCCGGCCCGTCTCTCGACGGCCCTGGGTAAACAAGCCCCATAAAAAATCATGTACGGCAAATTTTAAAACAGACTTTGATTTGTGTCTGCTTGCTTTTGAACTTTTCTAGCATTTGTCTCTTTTCAGTCTCTTTGATACAAAACTTGTCATCAGTCATTTTGATACTTGTTTGCATTTTCTTATGCAGGTACAAGACTGGAAAGAACAAATGGTTTTTCCAAAAACTTCGCTTCTAATTTGTTAATAAGATTAAAAATTGTAAAGGGAAAACTGTTGTCTCTCTTGTTTTTTATTCTGCAATGACTACCCTTGAAGAAAGGATGACAAAGTCCTAAACTATTGCATAGTAAAAGATATGAATTCGATAATTCCAACCTTAGAGGCAAGTTAGATACCATATGAGCATTTTACAAAAACTATTATTATTGCTTTTGCAAAAAGACTTTTCCTAAACGCAAAGTGATGGACTAAACATGTACTTCTTTGTTAAAAATAGCACCAGGCCTTCAAAGAAGGAGGCTGGCGGTGCCATTGTATCTTGGATCTATTGCCCTTCAAACTGTAAGTCAATTAAAATTGCAAATGCAGATAAATTAGAAGTGATCAGTTTTTGTTGTTATTTTTGATGCCATATCTTCAGCTGGCAAAATATGGTTTTCAAAAAGTTTAATAGGTTCCCAGAAAGAAAGATGCTTTTGTAACAATGATAATTGGTTCTACGCTGATAGGATAACGTAAGATTTGCTGGCTGGCTGGCAAACAGTTTTCACATATAACAGAAACATTTTCAACTGTCTTCTTTTCTAAATAGATGATAATATTACTGATGTTTAAAATGTATGTTAGCTGACTACATGGACAAAACTTGGCTGCATTAAGTTTACTATTTGAGTTAAAACCAAAAAGATGTCAGTCGTGCTAGCCTCCTTTTTTGAAACGAGGCGAGATTGTTTACGCCAAAATATTTACTGTATCGTATCACTGAACACTGAAACAGTTAACAGTTTATTTTGAAAACGAGTAGAAATATTGATATTTTGTCTGATGTTGGGGTATGTTATGCATATATTTCAGCAATACACCAATTCGACTTACGGCCTCATTTTGAAAAATTCGTTTGTACAAAATTTTTGACCTCAGATTCGGATTGACAGCAATGATTTTAGTATACTTTGAAGTTTTCATCATGGTATTGCTCACGAATCACGATATTGAATTTATGACGACAAAAAGATAAAAAATTTATAAGGGATTTGACCCTGATTGGCGACTAGGGGGGTAAAGTTTCCCCCCGAAACGATTTTTGCGGTCAAATCCCTTACAAGTTTTCAAACTTCATTTCTCGGTTAAATCTAAAATACAAGCTCAAACAATATGAAAAATTGTATCCCGCCCAAAATTATGACGATAAAACCAAATCTGAGCTTAAAAAATTGTATAATTAAATTTGGAGAAATTTCCAGAACGAGGCCTACTACAAGGGAAGACAGGTTATCAAATTTAATTTTCCTAAAAGAAGAAACCCTATTC